AAAAAAAAAAGGAAAAAAAAAAGGGGGGGAGAACGAATAAAAATTGAAAATTTGGGTTTAAAATCGTTAGTAATAATATATTCCTAGAAATTTAATTTGCTGATGATAAATTTTAATAATGAGGAAAATATTAATTTGGTGAAGATTTTAGGGATTTATCGTATATCTTTTGATTTACACCCTGTATATCAGAAATACTTTATTGTAAATAATTTTGATTTTAGTAAAAATATTTTTTTTTTTTTTTTTTTCGTAATTTTCCCAATTAATTGCGATTGATTTTAAATGTATTAAAGAGCGGTATTATCATATTAAAAATAACTGATGAGCAAATAATTTCCCGTGTAATCTTTTCATTCACTCAATGACTTGAAATAGAATTTATACGCGTTTAAAATTGAAACCAGTTCTTGGCATTTTGTGAATTAGTTGCGATAAACTATTAAATTCAAATAATTTATTACTTTATAATTAGTTCATTTGTCCACCTTTTTTTTTTTCAACATAAAATGAAAAACAAAAATTTACTAATTATCTGCAATGATACTTTTGATTACTAATTGCTTGAATATACCAACGTAAATAATTGCTGCAAGTATTGCGCATGTTAAGTGTTAACATACAAGATAACAAACAAATCACCATCTTTAATTTATGACATGGTGGAATTTTTTAATGCGATATAATGCATCGTTTAGAATATCATTCTTCCTAATACGGTAATATATTTGATTATTTTTTTTTTTTGATACACGAATATTTAATGAAACCGTAATATTTCGGCAAGCGAAATTAGAAAGTGTGGAATTAGAAACCTCCGAAACCTCCATATCACAATGTTGAAGTAAATGAATTGTATATTTTTTTAATTATTTTATTTTTTTAAAAAAAATAAAAATTAGGAATATATTTTAAAGTTTCAGGATTTCGGAGACGATTTCGGGATTTCACTTAAAAGGCGAAATGTTTCGCTAATCACAAAACAGGTTCTCGCGCATCATTAACGAGTACTTGAAATCCTTTTTTTTTTTTTTTTTTTTTAATAATAATACTTTTTATTCAACGAGTATCACCCTTTTCCTAATACTGTTTTAATTTCGATACTCTATTGTACAAAAGGAAGTACAATAATGAAATTTATTAATTTGAAATCATTTATAAATTTCAAACTTTTTCGAGTGTGAGAGAATGTTAAACAAAAAGCAAATAATAATTAAAATGATCTTCGAAACGAACGAATTGAAACGATCAAATATAAGAATGTTTATTATATTCATTAGATGCATAAAATAGACTAAGAATTTTTTGGAAAGTCTGAAATTTTAATAATATTGTAGAATATCTGAATATATCGATTTTTTTATCTTAATAATATCAAATTTATTTTGTAAATTTTTTTTAAAGATTTTCGAAATTTGTATTTATCCATCAGTCTATTACTTATCAAATAAATCATGATTCTTAGTTGAAATGGCGGAGGGAAAATCCATCAGTTAGTATGATCACTCTTTCTCATTCTTTTTGTTAGGTGACCATACCATTTCTTGTATTAAATCAAAGTTCACAAGTTAAAAAAAATAAAAAAAATACCGTGGAAGAGAATTCTCAATCAACCACCACCATATTCCATAAAAAAAGCTTCCGAAAAAAAGATGGTACCCAAGCTACATACAGTGTCCAAGAAGACAGTATTCTCTGCCCCTTATTAGTGTCAATGCTCGCCCTAGATCTTTCACTGCTTACCTTAATAAATGGAAAAATAATTCGCTATTGATGACCATGGTATAATAATTATTGCTTATTTGTATACTAATGATTCTTTTATTTAGAAACAGGATCAAGTTCCAACTTCCAAGTAAGAAGAAGTAAAGACAGAAAGGTTAAAGTGGGAACTGGGTTAGAGATAATTCGTCGTATCTTATTATAAAAGAGACAAAAGAAAGATATACAGTATATCCATTTTTGTATCTTTTTACTTTTTTGATATCTATTCGATAGCGATAGATCAAGTATAAGAACGCATAAATCAAAAAGATAGAATTTTTTATGCATATTAATTGTATACATCTAACGTAAAATTTTTTTTTGCTGTAATGATTATGCGTATGATTTTTTTTACAATATATTTTTATGCATAAAAAAATTACTCGTGTTAACATATGAAGAAGAGTATTTTTTTTTTGTAAAAAAAAATTTTTTATCCAATAGAAGGTTCTTTACATTACGAGAAAAAACAACAAATAAATACGTGGAAACATCTTCTAACATTTTCATGAGTGCTCATGAAACAATTATGCGATTTAAACCGTCTTTTTTTTTTACGTTCGAAATTTTGAAACACAAAATAATTTATAATGAAACGTTTTATGAACATTTTAAATTTAAATTTAATAATAGAGAAAATGGAATAATAATAAATTTGGTTTATAAAAAGATGTACATGTTTCTAAATTGATTACACATTTGTTTTTTTTTTTTTACTATTAAATATGTAACTAATTAATTTTTAATATAATGTTAATATTTTCGGGTTCTTTTTTATTCTAGAATTTTAGATTTCAAGACAAATTTCGTTTATGATTAATTAAATTGTATGTTGTCAAATATTATATTAACTGGAAATGATGGAACAAGGAACTGTAGGAACTGTACAATTACGCAATTACGAATAAAAGAAAGCAAATATATTATTTAATAACTACGCCATGTACATTTACCGAAATAAGAACGGTACAATTGAATCGCCGGTGTTCACTTTATTAGTGATTAAAGTTTTGAGAAATACCGGAATTTTGTGCATTAGTACATTTTTTAATACGATAGACAATTATTCTTCCTTTATATTAAATAAAAATAAATTTACCCAACTGGATAATGTAAATGCAATACCTATTATTGATTACGGATTGCCGGATTGATGATTGTCAAACAAATTTTACCAATGACAATTACTGCGTAAAATGAATCTGCATATGATTTGATGTATTAATATGCAAGAAACATACAATACGAAACTCATATGATTTTCATTTCTTTTCATATCTTGGTTCTTTTTGAGATTTTTAATATTGGAATTTTTTATGACGATATTCTTCAAATAATTAATATCTTTAATATGTTTAACCAAAGATTTTTATTTGGAAGCATTTTTTTATCTAGCTATTCTCTAAAGCCATTTTTTATTTAATATTGAATTAGATCTTTATATCGGTACTGTATATCGGTATATGCAATGATTTTTCTGACAAATACCCCTGCAAATAACAAATATTTTGATCTTATGTCTAAAGATTCTAAAGATGTTATATCCGTTATTTTCTAGAATCATTAAAAATGAGTAATACCGGTGCATTATTTCAAGATACTTAAACTTTAATCTGTTAACTGGTTTTCAACCAGTTATCCAAGAGACTTAATTAACCAGTTAATATTAAAAATATTAAAAGATTTCGTATTTATTCTAATAGCTGTATATTAATTTTATCAAAATAATAAAAAGAAAAAAATCGGTGTTTTAATTTTCGAGTTTGGGAACTCGTGTCCGCATTTATAACTCTGACCAAAATTATGGCCCAAATAGTTTTAACCGATCAACATTATCACTGAATAGTAATTCTGTTACTTATAGGGGTTAGTAGTTGAACGGAGTTCAGGGGTATTAAGGAGGTGAAATAAAAAATTAATTTTATCCTAGGAGTCAGGTTTTTAGAGCGAGGTTGATAGAACGTCTTAAGTGTATGTTACTATAGTAGGTCTCAAATCCAGGTTAAAACTTATATAGAAACTAGTTGGTTAGTATTCGTTCGTTAGTTTAGAATCAGGTGCCTGCAGCTATTATTATAAAATTTTGTATATTTGTATTGTTCGTTACAAATTTAATCGCTAATAAAAAATTAAAAAATTAAAAATTAAAAATAATTCTGTTACTTCTGTACAATAATTATATTATACATAATTAACATGGATTAATTAGCAGTTTTATAATAAATAAAATATTATCTAATACTATTGTCTACATCCTTATAGAAAATTATATGTATCTATCTAATAGTATTTCTTTGAATTTGGAAATATAATTTCATTAATTATTTTTCAATTCCAAATTCAACACTAGTACCAAAAAAGTCGGGATCGTTTTTAAGCCTAACTTCGATAAAATATTGCTTTGTATTATTCCAATTTGCCCTATTTTAAATGAACATTTTGTCCCATATCAAAAAATTAAATTTTAAATTTATTTTTTATCGAATAACTTCATATCTCGAGAGGACAGCTTACAAATTCTTTGAATACTTCAAGGTTTAATTTGAATAATTCGAACGATAACATCTTCTATAATGAAATTTATACTAACTCGCATATATGTACATCGGAGGGATCCATCTCAGTTCGTAAATTAGCGAAGAATCATTAGAATCATTTTTAAATTTCAGACGATTTCTTTTTGTCACGTTGAATCAATGACGTTGCAGTCGTTGCACAAATTTTTTTGATAGAAAAAATAACCAATAGAAATCTGATTCATTGAAAATATGAAACATTTTTTTACGTTCGGAATTTTAAAACAAAGATACATTTACAAAATTTGTACCATTTACAATAGAACATTTGAATATACTTATACAATATACACATATATACACATATATGTATTTTAAAATAAATGGACCCATTATTTTAATTTGAACTATAAGACAGGAAGTAACTGTTAGGTCCTAGAGCCATTAGTATCTTGGCATACTAAAAATTTATAAGTTAGAGAGTATTTTATTTATCCAGCTTAGTCTCTAGATCAATACCGCCTCCAGTGCATATTTCGATTAAAACTATCCGATTTTCTCCGTAATTAATCAGTATTCAATAAGTCTTTATACAAAATATTTAAATTTTAGTCTGTCACGGTATAGTGCATCATATTGTTAAAGAACTAGAAGCATTCCGTGAGCACAATCTCTTTTATTTTTAGGCAAAATAGTAATCTTGATGTAAGACCAATACTTCTTTTACCATTATTTTTAATTAGCGTTCCCCTTTCTAGGCACGACCTCTTTCTAGGTACGAGCTTTAGAAAAAAATTGAAATGAACGTTAAAATCATAAAAATTTATTAAAATCGTAAAAATTTACTCAAAAGATTGATAACGAAATATTTCTATTGCTGTAGTGATGTATTGCTGTTTGGAATCGAATGTGAAGAAAAGGTATAATTGGTTATTTACGTATAATATATTAGCAGTAATAGTTTTAAAATATTAAAGTTTATAATTAAATCCATATGACGATTTACGATAGCTTTTATCAATTGCACTAGCTAGTTCAATAAAATAATTAGCAGTTAATATATACTCATAACATATTAAAATCTTTTATTATTATTACTTATTATATGATCTAATATTAAAATTGGACATAAAATATACTATTACAAAATTAATTTCTATTCTAATAGTATTCTTGCAAAAAAAATATAAATTTGAATAATCTAATCATTTAAGGTTTAAAAATTCCAAATTCAACACCTTTACCAACAACTTTAGAATCACTTTTGAGTGTAACTTCGGCAAAATATTTCTTCTTAACATCCCAATCTTTTCCAATTGTAAATTGAAGATGTCCATCAAAAGCATTTTTTCCCTAATGAAATAATAATCAAAGAAAATTAATTGATTATATATAAATTTTAAATATATATATATATATATATATATATATTAGTCAAATAATTTCATATCTAGAGAAGAGATAACTTACATCCTTTTTGTAAACTTCAACATTAGAAGAAGATGATTTTTTCTGGATAATTCGAACGATAACATCCTCTATGTACGAGAAAAAGAATGAAAATTTATTAATTAAAGATCATTTATAAATGGCTTTCAAGTAAGATAAAATATGATAATAATTACCATCTGATTTACATTCGTTGCACCACCAACTAACAACTTGATCTGATTTTAATGCCCATGGACCTTTTCCTGGAGAAGTTACATGAATAACTTTTTTAGCACGCTTCTCAATTGGAATAGAGGTTACAAATGTCGCGAGCAAGACAAAAAGAATTGTAAAGATGGTAAAGATTTTGCTGTTCATGATGTCAAATATTAATAAAGAATTAAAGATTAAAGCTTAAAGAAATTAATTGATTATTATTGATATTTTTTATATTATATCGTAGATTTTAAGATTTTAATGAAAATCTTGAGTTTTTAACGAAGGGAAATTTCATCTGTTTAAATACTTGCGAAAGAGTTCGTTATTTTTAATTTGCGTCACCTCAACCTCGGAACTATAATTAGAGATTATATTGTAATTGGATGATTACACGCGGAAATAGACGACGCGCCAAGAAGGGGATTTCATGCAAATTTTTCATTCAAACAATATGTTTTCTACAAACTTATGTAGTGTATGTTAATGTGCGAAATTATTATTTACTATAAATTCAAAATAGTACAATATAAACTTGCATAAACTTTACTACTAATATTACGACGGTCGAATGTAGTAGAAAATGATTAATATAGAAAACAAGCATTTAAAAAAATCTCAATCTGATCAAAACCAGGATTAACCAAATTTAATACATTTAATGCGAAATTTTACTGTTTTAAACTATTTAAAGAAAAATTATCATATTAAAAATGGCTAAAATAGAATAACAATGCATTTGATTTTTCATTGAATAATGAAATTTGATCATGATTACGTAATTTATCTATATTATATTTATCTATGATTGTTCTTTAATTAAAATTTTTACTTCCATTTTAAGTAAATGGAAGAAGGGGGGAATGATCATGTGAGGAATTAAAATATCCCCCTTACCTAAATTTATTTTTATATTTATATTTGTACTAAATTTCGTTTTTTTTTTAAAAGTCTTAAATGTCCTTCTAAAAAAAGTGCATCAAATTTAAAAATTTATCCTTTGTTTCCCGTAACACCAGGAGATTTTTTATTTATTTTGATCGAAGTCTCGTTACACTTTCATTATTTGATAATTTAAGTAATTTAAGACATTCGATTTTTGGACCTAAATAAAATTGGTGAAATTCTTGTTGGTCAATAAAAATAGATTAGATTTAATCATTAATTAATTATAGGAAAGAAGTAATTGAATTGTAAAAATTTTGTGCAGCTAAAGTTATGAAATATTTTTTCTAATTGGTATAATTTGATATAACGATAACTTTAAAGATTTTTATATCGATATCGAATATCCTCCATGCTACGCTTTGGACAATTAAAAATTAAAATCTTAAAGCAAAGAAACTTCCTCACAAATTGAGATGTGGCCGCAACGCAACTCTAAGTTTTTTATATAGCCGTAATTTCGCAACTATTTAAAAAAACAGTTAAGGCGTCAACCTTACTCACAAACCTTCATTCATACGAAACAATATACAACATATCTATAATAATATTGAAACGCACCAAGAACGTATTTTAAAAATAGTGAATTTTATAATTTATTATTTCTTGTTCATCATAATAGGTAAAAAATAATTATCTATATGTCTATTTTTTTTTTTAGTACTAATAATTGTTAACATAGTGGTTATAACGGCTTTACTGGAAATTTAGAGCAAAGTTTGTCGTGTTAATGAATAAATATGAAATTAGAAAATTAGCAAGAAATGCAAATAATGAATGAAGAAAGAAATCAACTAGATAGTATTTCTTATATTACAGATATGAAATAATTCAAATTAAGCCACAATAGTGGCTTTCAACAAATTTCGATAATAATTTCATAATTGTATTTCTTTACTAATGAATAAATAAAATTTCTTTATATCTTGTACTTTTTCTTATTGCTTTTCTTAATTTTATCATTTTGTTCTCTATCATTAACCTTTTATCATCATTATTGGTTAAATTCATTCTCACCTTTTTTTTTTATCTCCTCTTTTAAATCGTTTTTTTCCGGCTCTGATGAGATGTGGCAAGGGTTAAAGGCCATTCTAACCTGGAGATTGGTCTTCCGTGATACCCGTTTTATCAGGTCGTCCATCATTGTAACGAAACCTTAAAAGATTATCTGAAGCTCAGTCTTGTTCTTGGCTTTTTTCGCAGTCAGTAATCTTCTAGTAAAAATCACGTGAAAGGCTTTAATTCTGGCCGCATACAAGCCCTACCTGTACTATGTTAAACAATGCAGATCCCATAATATTATTTAAAAAAATATCATATGATCAACAATTATTTTAACCGCTACCTTAAATTGGTTTATTTACTTTACTTTTTCAGTTTATTATTAATTTGATATTTATTTTTAGTCATGACAGATTCATATCTGGTAAGAGTTGGAGGTAAAGTCTTTGAATTTTCTGAAACAAGGTAACTTAATAATAGTTTTTCTTTAAAAGATTATTAGTATTATCTTGATTCACTTCTCTTTAATATTTTAGTTTACAAACAGATGCACCAAACTTATTTACAGAAATGCTTTGGGGAGGAGAAGTTTATGGAGAAAAAGAAATATTTTTTGATCGAGATCCTGTAATATTTGAAGTAATTTCTAGATACTTACGTGGTTATGAAATATTTCCAATTTCATCCATAAATTTACCAGTTGGAATGTCAGAAAATGTATTTCGTCAAAATTTATTAAGAGATGCAAAATTTTTTCAATTATCAAAACTTTCAGAATCTATGATTACATTGGATACAAGGATTGGAGATATTTTTAATAGTCATTTTAAAATTGAGAAAAGATTAACTGATATTGACCCACTTCTCTTACAATTAAAGAGATTTGGTGATAAACAATATGTAATTTATAAAAGTGAAGGAATGCCTGTTGTATTATTTCATATGGGTGGTGTTATATGTGATGTATCTCCACTTAATTCTATTGAATGGAAATTTCAACCAGTAAATTTAGAACATAGTAGAATTATAAGAGATATTATTATAAATGTTATTGGTGAAGATTATGATCAAAAAAATGATATTTTTAATGGAATTAAAAGTGTTAGTGCATTTGAAATTGATGGTCAAAAAGTTTATGGTAGTGAGATTTATATGAAATTTAAGGATAAAACTGCCGAAGTTGATAAACAAGGAAGAATAAGATTTTTATTAAGTAAATTGATTTTTAGTTTAGAAGTTATTAATGAACATCAACAAAGTAATCCTATTGGAGGTTCATCTGCTGGAGGAAAAATCAAGCATAGAATTAAACCTGTTTGGGGTACCGGAATTACTGAGCCTACTTGGTTGGCTCATAGAGGAACTTGAAAAAAAAAGATTTCATTGGGGGTAATTAATTAATTCTTAATTAATTATTTAATTAGGTTCCTATATTTTGTGTAAATTTTTTTTTTTTTTTATTTTATTTTATTTTTAGAAACTTTCAAAAAAAACATACCTTTTTTTTCTGAAAATTTATGGATGGTAATACATTTTCAATGATCTTTTTCTAAAACACGATTCTTTTTACACGTGACGAAACACAAATAGTAGCACGACATCAAAACATCAACATCTACCATCAAAAAAAAAATAAAAAAAATTTTAATCCAACCAATGAATTAAAAATTTTTTAATTTTAATCCAAATGGCCTCTATCGTGGACGTTAGTGAACGAAAAATTCGTCCGATATATGGTAAAATTTATTATTATTATTATTATTGTTTATCAATTATCATAAGAAAATTATCAACGATACACTTATATTTTTGTTAGAGGCAATTGAAATTTCAAATTATAAGTCTGCTTTGTCACAATGTAATAAATTATTAAAAAAACAGCCTGAAGCTCTTATATTAAAGGTATTGATATAAGGAAAATTTCCATCAAATCTTTTTCTTGATTCAGTGTGTTAAAAATGTTGTTTGTTATTCAGGCTCTAAAAGGTTTGATACTAGAAAGAACTGGAAAATCTGAGGAAGCATTGCAATTATGTTCACAAGTTAAAGAAAAGAAACCATCAGACGAACCTATATTACAAGCTCTTACCATGGTTTATCGATCATTAGGAAAACGTATAATAATCTATATATTATCGTTTCTTTTTACGTTTTCATATTATTATTGTTTACATTTTATTTATTTCTTTTGATTATAGTCGATGAAGTTATTCAAATATATGAAAATGCTGTACGTCAAAGTCCTAATAACGAAGAACTTGCTAATCATTGGTTTATGGCTTTGGTTCGAAATCATGATTATAAAGGGCAACAACAGGTAATTCGATATACGTGTTTTTTTGTTTGGGACTCGTAATTATACTAACCATTTATTTATAATATAGGCTGGCTTAAAATTACACAAATCATTTAAAGTTAATAAGTACTTATTTTGGTCTATCATGAGTTTGGTGTTACAGGTAAATTTTTAAAGAAAAAATTTATATTTTATATTTAAAGATTACTTTTAAAATATTTAATTTTAAAATGTATGCTAGGCAGAAAATGCTCCTGAATCACAATCGACAATTTTTATATCATTAGCTGAACGTATGATGGTCAAAGCAGTAAATGAAGGAAGAATGAGAACCACTGAAGGTATTTATTCAATTTCGTTTTTTAACTCTTTTTATTTGATTAACAACTTATATTTATCTTTTTTTTTTTTTTTAGAGGTTCATCTTTATATGATCATTTTATTGAAACAAAATAAAACCAAGGAAGCTCTGGAAGTTTTAGAAAGTTTGAAAGATGATCTCGTTCAAAAATGTGAAAATGACACCGAGATGATTCATATTCGAAACGATTTGCTTCTGAAGACTGATAATTGGACAAAAGCAATTGATGCAAGCAAATCATCCTTAGAAGTGAAGTATGTTGATAAATATATATCGAATATTATAAAAGAACTTCACAACTTCATTATTAAAATAAACCATAAATTATTTTAAATAGTGTAGATGATTGGAAAGCATATTTAATTTATATAGATTCTCTTTTTCATATAATTGATTCTAATGAAAAGGATGAAAAAGATGAAAAAGGTGAAAAGGATGAAAAAGATGAAAAAGATAAAAAGGATGAAAAAGGTGAAAAAGATGAAAAGGATGAAAAGGATGAAAATGGAGAAAGGTGAGCTGGCAAATTATATATTTATATAACTATATTGGATATAATTCTTTTAAATTTATTTGAATTATTTTTATGTCATAGTTTGAATAAGAAGCTGAATTTGGATGCTGCTCGTGAATTTTTGTATTCTTTACAAAAAAAGGAATCAGAATCAAACGATGTCAAACGAGGGCCATTCCTTGCAGAGTTAGAATTAGAAAAGCGTGTTATTTCGGGAAAAAAAGAAAGTAAGCCGGCAAAAGAAATGGAAACATTGACGATTGAATATGCTCGGAGGTTTGGAGATAAGTCGAGTTGTTTTGAAGATTTGAAACCTTATTTGAAAGATTTTTCATTGGAAACCTCGAAGAAGTTCATCGAGGAATTTAAGGCTTCAATTGATAATAATTGTGAGGATGAAAAGGTAAATAAAATGTTCTTTTGGTTCTTTCATATTTGTTTCATATAAATTAACTAAAAATATTCTTGTTCAATTTAGTCAAAGATTCGAAATGTTCAAAAAAATGTTAATGCCTATAAGTTAGAAAGATATCTTGGACTATTGTCAGACATTAACGAAAGTGATGCGATGGCATATGTTGATAAGTTATGGCAATCATACAATGATGCTCTTCAGTACGGTACGAAAAATATTAAAAATTGTCTTGATATTTACTCGATATATTGTATATATTGTAAATGGTATTTAATATATTAATAACAGGTTCGAAATTGCTGGATACTGAAAATCAATATGGCGATGAATTTGTCATCCTGGCATCTCATATTCTTATCGATCTACATAATAGAAAAGGTTGATTTATTATATACAATATATATAAGAAAGAGAAATTATATATTGTTAATAACAACTTTCATGATTTTTATTATTATTATAATCTAGATCAAAATTCTTTTCTGTTTTATGCAATTTTCCTATTGGACAAGGCTTTGCATAAAAGCAAATATAATTTTCAATTTAAACTACTACTAATTCGATTATATCAAGCTCTTGGTATGTAACCACTATTTTAGGAATCGCAATGTTCAATTTATTTGTCTATTTAATTTCATCTCAAACAGGAATTATTTTGGAACCTCTTGAATTGTATAAGTCTATGGATATAAAGCATGTACAACTAGACACTATGAGGTATTTCAAATGTTTACGAGAAAAGTTAATCAGTGATGTGTTGTTGTTGATGTATTTTCCATTTTTTTCATAGCCATTACATTTGTGCGCGGTCATCATCTTTTGCAATTTATGAAGACGTGACTCAAGCATGTTATGATACTCTTCCTATTTATCGCAGCAACGATGTAGAGGTGAAATGTTTGTTTACATATATAAAAAGTATGTTCAAATATTCCATATTAACTTGATATCGATATTTTAGACACCAGAAATGATAGTTCAAGCGTATAAATATGCTACCTTTAGTAAGGTAACAACATTTACTATCATAAATTATAATTTTACATTATTATTTTTAAACTGATTTTTATTATTTTATATAGATACAAGAATTTATTCAGTTTCGAAAAGAATTGGATAATTCTCAACAAAAAGTCCTTATAGATAGAGAAATAATACGTCTTGAGTTTCTGAGCGTATCAAAAGATTTCAAGGGTGCAATTGAGTATCTTGAGAGAGAAATAGATATTTCTGATCTCAATTATGATGGTAAATAATATAATTTAATTTATAAATTAATTCGTTTAACTTAAGTTAATTTATTTGTTCTTTCAGATTCTTTTTGTAAATCTCTATATGATAATAGGGATTTTGTAGTAATGAATAATTATAATTCTTCAAAAAATAAAACTATCGAAGAAGATACAAGGGTGTCCCCGAAACTTGATGTAGATATTCATTGTATTTATCATTATGTTTACCCGATTTTTTTATTCATCTTAAAGTAATTGATTCTTTATATTCATTTCATTTTAGAATACTTGGTTGAAAATATTCTCTATCATTCCACAAATTTTCAAGCTTATGCATACTAATAATAATGTCGATAGTTTAATACCATTGATTGAAGAATTAGAGAAATCGGTTAAGTTAGAGAATAAGGAAGGATTAGGGGTTTGTACTTTTATTTTTTTTTTATTTATCTTTTTTTTTTGTTTAAATTGTTTTATAAGCTTATATTTTTATTGTTATATTAAGATTACCTTAGAGGAAAGATATATAGGAAAGACAGTAGTAAGCTTAGGTAGATTATACATTGCATTTAAAGAAGTTCAAGGGGGTCAGAAAGAGTCTGTTGAAAAACTATCAAAAATTATCGATGAAATAATTTCTGAATTAAAAGGTTTTTTACGATTCATATTTATTTGTATTGATTCACACATTTTATTTGATTTCTAATTTTCATTTATATATATATGTTTATAATTTTCAGATAAATCTACGAAGGAATTTTCTGAAGTTAAATTACAGGAATTATCCTGGAAGCATATGCATCGATTTTCGACTTTCATAGAGGTAATAATTAAAATCATTGTTTATGCTTTTTTTTTGACTCGATAATTGTATTAAATATTTTTATTCATAATTTAAATAGACTTGTAATTATATTATTGTTGTAAATAAAATTGTAAATGAAACGATAAATGTTAAAAATAAGAAGTCTGGAAATAAGGAATTGGTTAGTAATTAAATTTTTATTTGAAAAATAATCATTGTAAGCTGTTAATGTTTTATATTAACTTAATTTAGGCCCAAATGTTACAAGTTTTGTCGACATCTGTAAAAGAAAATCTTGAATCAACGAAAAAGCAATTGAGTGATTTAAATGAAAGAATAAAGGATGGAAAAGAAAATCTTTTCTCGTGTATTAAATCTGAAAATAATATAGAATTTTGTAAAGATAATGTGAGTTTAATAAATTTATTTGAAAATTTTATATTATTTATTTTATTTTTAACTAATTTATTTTTTATAAATAGGAAAATTTATCATTTATTAATGCAATTTTAACTGATAAGGTAAGTTTAAGCTGGCAATCAAGTATTGAAAGTATGATCCAAGCAATTGGATTTAGGATTTAGAATATAAATAGCAGATTAAATTATTTATTTATAAGCACTTGTTTAGATCCTTTTAATAAAAGAAAAAAAAATCCAATGTTTAATTGCAATAATATTTGGAGTTTTTTAATGTATAAATAACATTATTAAATTATAATAAATCCGATTCAGTAAAATGGGTAATGATACAATTAATTTAATATGAGGTTTTATAATTTTTATAATTTAGAATTTTTCCATTTAGGACTCCTCTTTTCTTTAAAAGATAACATACCTTCTTTAAAATTATCTTGATTATAAAATTTTTTAGCAATATCAGAAGTAAGATGTTTTCTTTCGGCTTCAGTTAAAGAAGGAGATTCTAGTGAATAAAGTATTCCTTGTTTTGAAAATTTAATGGCATCAGGAGAATTTTCAATTATTTCTGAGGCAATTTTAAGAGCAGCCGGTACAACATCCTGTTTGATTAAATAGGAAGATTAAGTTATATATTTTAAATGAAGTATGTAATAATAATAATAATTACCTTATAAGTTGGTACTATTTTATTAACAAGACCAATTTCTTTACATTCTTCGGCTGAAATATTTCGGCCCGTAAAAGCCAGTTCGCATGTTCTCTGATATCCTATCGTCATATAATGTGCAAAACTATTTAATACTCATTAATATATGAAAAAAAAAAAAAAATGAAATGAAAAAAAAAACATACCAATGAATCTAACTAATCTTGTCAATCCACCATTAACAGCGACAATACCTCTTTTTACTTCAGGTAAAGAAAATATGGAATTTTTTGCTGCAACAACAATATCACATGCTAAAGTGATTTCCATCCCACCACCTATATAAATTACAATTGTAGTTCTAAGAAAGAAATACGATTAGAAAAATTAGAAAGAAGTTTTGTTATAATTTATTCTCACCAATAGCGAAACCATTAACAGCAGCAATTACAGGTTTTAAACTATCAACTCTTCTACTTATTCCACCAAATCCACTTTTAGGAAAATTCTTTAATATTGAATCATCATCATTAGACGATGATCCCTTCTCATTTGATGTAAATTCACTTTTCAAATCTTGTCCAACACAAAATGCTTTGTTTCCCACTCCAGTAATCTAATAATAAAAATATATATATAATTAGATAGATATAGATTCATAATAATGATAATAATGTAAATATTAAAAAAAAAAATTTACTTACAATAGCAACCCATAATTCTGGTTCTTTATTATACCAATTAAATACTCCATCTAATTCAAAATGTGCAGGAAGGTTAAGTGCATTAAGTTGTTTTGGACGATTAATTGTTATTAGTAATATTCGTGGTGATGGAAATGTTAATATACAATATTTAGTCTCTGGAGGTGGAACATTAAAGTTTTTAGACATTTTAATATGATAATATTATTGCTGTTTTTTTCTTTTTTTTTTTAAAAAAAAAAAATTTCTTGGTGCGAATTTTACTATTGATGCATCTTATCATCTAAATTAGTTTAATGATATAATTAAAGTATTGTAGATCTTAAATTTCTATTATGATACTAGTCTTTATTATTTTCAAACCAATCATATATCTACTTTGTAGATTTTTTATAAAAAAGATTTGCTATAATCTCCTGCATTAGTACAACTATAGCTGGATGACTTCTGTTATCTACAGCAAGTAATTTATATTCTGGGGTATCTTTAATTCTATCAAAATGACTAACAATATAATCAACCATATCATCTTTCAAATCCTTCCATTTATAACCCTCACTAAATAAAACTTTAACCACATTATCAAAATGTAATCTTTTATAGATTTCTATTCTAGCTTTTTGCCTTAAATCCGGTATAAGATAATAATCAGCTATTTTAAAAATTTCGAATGGAATAATATTACTAAATTCGATTTTATCCGTATACATAAATTTAATTACTTCATAATATGTTTGACGTGAATAATCCGGAATATTAATAATAATAAAATTTTGATTCATATCAAGTTTTCTCTTCTTTTCTTTTGATTCTTTTGTATCATGAAAAAATTTACGAAAATATTCTGAACGTTTAATAAGAACCGATTTATGAGTAAGGATGAATCCATCGTTGAAGTTTAATTGAATATTTGCATTTTCCATATTATTAATTTGTCCCATCCATGTTGACATTAATTCCTTCGAAACTTGATCTGAGAAGATAATTTCCGAATTGACTTGATTTCTTTCGATTGTAGTATCAGAAAAAATAATACCAACGTTAACTGTTTGATTATTTTTCAATAAAGGAAAGTTTACACCTTTATAAATAAATTTTTAAAACCATTTAAAAAAAAAAATTAGTAAATTTATTTTAAACCCATTTCCTTATATATATTATATAATAAAGAGAATTTACCCCAGGAATAAGATCTCACGGAATATTTATCAGTTTTAATAGGATTAAATTTTTCATATTGTTCACTTTTAATGTATAACATGACTGATAATTTTGCACGTTTCTCCCAAATATTTGTAGTCAAAGCTTCTTCGTGATTTGGAATCGCAATTAAATATAAAACACTACATGCACGATTATCAGGATCTGCCTATTAAATTTAAATTATTATTATGTAATTATTATTATTTATTATTGTTGTTACAAAAATTAATTTTATATCAAAAATTTTCAATTAAAAAATAAAAATACCTTGTAAAATTTTAATTGCCAAAACGTATCATTTGATGTTGCAAAAGGTGGTGAAAATACCGGATGATCATCATTTAGCGCGTCATCTGGAAATGTAAATTCAAAAATCGCCTTTCCGTTACTCGTCATATCGATCATTTTACGAAAAAATTATCAAGAAAAATATGTTCATAAATTTTTATCAAAATTATTATAATTATTATAATATTATTATTTAAGCTCGCGTAAAAAGTTAAAAAAAAAAAAGAGAGAGAGAATATTTATTTTTCAATCGTGTTCGTTCAAAAAAAAAATAGTTAATAAAAAGGGAAAAAGAAAAGTTCATGAAATGACTATTTTCAGTAAATTAAACGTGTTTATGATGTTGTGATACTTGTTACAGTTAAATTTAGATATGGGTCAAAATACGCAACCGTACTGTCATGTTCAGTGTATCTAAAGAGATTGTGCATTTATAGAGAGTAAAATAATTATAAAATATATAAGCTTGGATATACTTGTTATTTTTCTAATTTATTTAGTTTTTATATTATTATAAAGTTATTTTATTTTATTATTTTTAATTCTTATATCTAACTAAACACATTATTCTCCAATTACTCATTTTCCCTTAATGTATTAATTTTACACATTTCCTTCAATACTTGATGAAAATATAACAAACATTCGATTAGAAATGATTACCTGATACACACACAACTTAATATATAAAAATTCTAAAAACTTGCTCACTTTAAATAATTAAGTATGGTGAATCTTACAAGACCCGATCCTAAATTCATTAAAAATCAAATATATTTTTATTCAACAAACTCTCATACAGTTAAATCAAAGACCATAAATTTTTGCTTTGTAGACATTGAGCTAATATATCAAATCATTAAATATTCTTAATTACAAAATTAAATAATCTTTTAAGAAAATTGGATCTTCTAGAAAGAAAATGTAAAATGTTACTTATATCTATTATTTACTGTAGTCCAATGAAAAAATTACTCACCGAGATCCATAAAATATTATGTTACTCCATTTCTCGTTTCTTATAAAAGAAAAAGCAAGCTCAATTTGGTTTTTATTTAGATGATGAGGAAGGAGTTGAAGAAGAGAAAGGAGGGGAGAAGGAATAGTAGCGAGTTTAGGAACTTTCATCTTATAATTCTAGATTCTACATTTCCTCCTTCACTTTATAATGCCAGTGTATAATCAAAATACGCGATTTTACTAATTCTTTTTATGCTTATAGGTAATAACAGTAGCAAAATTAAAACCGAATTTAGTACACAATTACGGAAAAAAACCGTTTACCTTAATGTTACTCTTAGCAATATAATAACTTGCTAATAATATCAATTTATTAAAAAGGATTAATACTGTATTAAGATTAAATGTAAATAAGCACGGATATTAAGTCATTTTTCCAAATATTCAAAATTTCAATAACTTGAAATTAAAAAAAATTGTAAGTTTGGAAATTTTTACGTAATAAATAAGAGTAAGTGTAATTAAAGAATATAATTATGAATATTTAATCACTCAAAAAATATTTTTTTGTGTTACGCTCAATATCTTATCAAGATCGCATCATTAAATTTGGTATTCTAGTTAAAAAAAACGTGTACGTCGTACTTTATGATACTTATTTACTTATTTTTTCTTTATCAGATGAATGTTAGGTCTATTTCTGCAATGTGAATCATTCTTACATGGATCGCATCATACGTTAAATACATCATGATACTTATTTTTTTACTAGTTAAAATGTTATATTATGATGCATATTTATTCATTCTTAGTAATGCTTTTTTCGTATCAATGAGTCATATGATTTTTTTATATTTAAATCCCTAATTTTCTCAACTTGCTCTTTTTTTTTTTTAATTATACTACTTTGATTTTTCATAAATACTTTATATTATTTTTTTTTTTAATACTACTTTGCTTTTTTACAAATACATATTTTATTTTTCATTTTTCATAAATACTTTTATATTATTTTTTTCTTTAATACTACTTTGCTTTTTTACAAATACATATTTTATTTTTCATTTTCATAAATACTTTATATTATTTTTTTTTCCAAGTTAATGAATGAATCATGAATATAACTGAAAATTATATTGGATATGATGGTAAGAATAAATTTAAAATTCTAAATCTTTTAAAAAAAGAGTTTATTCAGCTTCTAATTAACCTATTAATTACAACTAGCTCTTGTTTCTTACTTAATTGAAGTTTCTTACTCAATTGAATCAATTGAATCAAACAATTATATTTACTATGAATTTTTGAGTCCTAATCAAGATATTATTATTTCTTCACTAAATTCACTAACTAACTCTTCAAAGCATTGGACTTGAATGAATGGCAAAATTTTAACTTTACCTGGTACAACCGCTTTTTAAAGGCAGCCAAAAACTTATTTGAACCAGATATTTTTATTGCAGTAAAAAAAAAGGTGTGTTTATTTTTTATTTTACAAAGTGGAGTAACTCTTAAAATTCGTCATACTAGATTTATTGGTCAGCTCTTGCTCTCAATTCAGGCACCTTAACTTAATAAAGTCTGCTTGTTCTGAAAGGAGAACTGGCTATGTACCTTCTTTACTACTAAATATTGTGCACTATTAATAATTTCTTTTTATTACAGATACAAGAAGAGCACTTTTGTAGTAAAGAAAAATTACAAATATTTTGGCAAAAAATTATTAAAGAATTTAATAAAAAGAAAAATTTTCCTAAAACTTCACAATCAGATTTAAAAGTTATTAAAGAATGTGATAAGAAAAATCTAATACTTGCTGAAATTTTTCAACCAGATACATTACTTTCAAAAAAAACAAGCAAAGATTTTATTAAAAATCTTTCTGAAACTTTACAACCAGATTTACAAGTTATTAAGGAATATAAAAAGGAAAATCTAGTATTTACTGAAACTTCACAACCAGATGTATTACAACCAGATGTATTACTTTCAAAAAAAACAGTTAAGATTCCTATTGAAAATCATTTTGAATTTACTGACTTTTGTTATGATATACTTCATGAACTTGAAAACAAATCTTATGCCAAATCTTATGCTAATAAATCTTATAAGCATATAAATTTAAAATTAAAAAATAATCAATATACAAGTTTAGAAGAATTTGAAAAGGATATTCGTTTAATATTTTGTAATTGTTATATATATAATAATGTTGAAAGTGAAGTAATTAGTTTAGGTAAAGCATTAGAATGTATTTTTAATAAAAAATGGGATAAAAATCATATTATTCAAAATAGACAAACAGAAGAATTAAAAAGAAAGATGATGATACAACAAATAAGAGAATTAAAAAGAGAGATAAGAAATCAAATTTTAGAACAAAATAAGAATAATTTTAACAGGTTTTTGTTTAAATAAGAATTTATTTTGATTTATAAATTGAAATAACTATTAATGCAAAAAAACTTTATTGTGGATTTTGTAGATGTTTTGTAAAGAAAAAGAGATGTTATATGCTAAGAATGAACAATTTCAAACGAATTCTACCCTTTAAGCAAAAATTTTACCTGACAATGCAACATGTAAGATGCTTTCATATATGATGAGTAGTTTGGATATTAATAATATTAGATTCATAGTTTAGAGTTTTTTATTTTACTTATATAATTTATATAGCCTTAATACTTATTTAATAAACATATATAAACTCTTTCCCGTACTGTTCACATCCATTTTTCACACAAGAATATTACGCTTTCTTGTTAAATTACTAGAAAAATAGCACTTCAGTATTAAGACAAAAGTATTCTTTGGTTTAAACAACACACTTTTCATTATCACTCTTTTTGGTTCGAACAAGTTCACAAGGGCTTAATAGTCCTTTAAAAGACATAAAAGTTTCATTTTCTTGCGAAATTTTTTCAAAAGAAGGCGTAAATACGGTGCACCAATCAGATTAAAGATGCTGAATAAAGAAATTTTTATTGGCTATACTTTTTTCCATCCAGAAAAAGTGCAACGGTACACGGGGGCTGATACGATATATTCCACTAGAAAAGGAAAATCCTATATCCTTTTGCATGTGGATTCATTACAGAAAGAGAAAGATATATTGACGATTGTTACCAACAATAGACATATAATAAAGAAATATGATAAGCCTTTTTTAATTAATTCAGATCGGCCTATGATGAATACTAAATACAGGATTTCAAAATACTTAACGAGTGTATTTTGTGAGTTACCTATTGACATAGAAACTAGAAACAAGTATTTTTTAAGAATACGCCAATTATTATTGGATAAACTTGTAGTTATTGAAAATAGATTGAAGAAACAGGAAAAGAACAGACAAACTACAACTTATATTAAATTTAGTCATAGTAGACGAACATGGTATTTGGGGTTCTACATCCCATGCTCATTTTGTAGTGACGTCTGTGCTTACGTAATGTCAAGAAATAGAAAAGTTTGTCAAAATTGTCGTTCGAAGATGATAATAACTCCTACACCTCTGCCGCAAAATGTGTTTAAGGATTTTAGTAAAGTTAAACAAGTAATAAGTAAACGTGTTGGCGTGTCTTATACAAAAAAAGTTTTGATGGATGGTGGAGCACGTAAATATGCAGTTACGTATTCAAATTTGCAGATAAACAAGCAATTTAAGACGTCGAAAGAACAAGAAAGGTATAAAAAAGGTTTAAAAACAGCCTCAAGAGTAATAAAAATAAATGGCAGGTCACAAATAATGGAATTGGATCAAAGGTACTTATTTCCAAACATAAGTTGAAACGTAGACATGATATCCTTAAGAAACAATACATATCAGAAAAAGAAATGGAGTTTCTGGTAGATCAAGTTACAAGTGA